GTTTGCCTTGTCCCGCGGAGGCTGCGGGAGCATGGACCGCTTCCCTCGGGAAGGGACACCTCCCGCCACCTCCGGAAATTCCCCCTCAGCATCCGGCGGTTGTGAAGGAGCCGCCAAGGAGCTCGCGTCGCCTCTTGCCAAGTGTTCCGCAGGTACCGCGGTGCCCGGTTCCCGACGCGGGAAAGCTCAGCGTCCCCCTGTAGCAGCACCACAGGCGTGCGGTGCCCCGGCAAGCGCAGGATCGGCCAGGATGCTTTCTGGGGGGCGGCGAGCCAGGGTGCCCTGTCTGGGGTGACGGCAGCCTCTCTTGGGGCATGGAATACATGGATCAGGAGTATCCCATTGCTTGTGGCTGTCTTTATAGTCACATTTTCTGTCTGTCAGCAGAGGAGATGGATTTGAGAACGGAAGATTATGTGGGTTAAACTGACTTAAAAAATATTAGTCGGGACAGACTGTTTCCTTGGGAAATAAGTAGGGCGCTCGGTGCACCGAGGACACCAAGGTCTTGTCCTCGGAGGTGCCGGGTGACTCTGCCGTCGCCAGGACGATGCGGTGCGCAGCGCTGTGACCTCGGGGCTGCTCCCCCGGGCTGCAGCCCCCTGGTTACTCCTGCTGGGCTTTTTGTCCCTGTCATGCTTCCGGACCAGGTGAGGCCCCATCTTGAGTAGCCTTGCCACGTGTCTACGCCGTCTCCTTTCGTAGAGGCCGTCTCTGCCTGGGGAAGCCAAGCGTGTCATCCTCTCCGAGCTGATCTGTTTGAGCTGCTCCCCGAGCTCACCAGCTGGGGATGGGGTTTGAGGCAGAGGTTTCGGTCTCGGCACGGTGCCCAGCGTGCAGGGTGCTGCCTGTGCAGAGGCGGGGGCTGCAGGGTGGCTCGGCCCAGGCTTTGTGCCTCCTTTTACCTTTTTGCCCTCATTTTCTGCTTCTTCCTTAGGGAGGGCTGGAAGGTGAGAACCAGTGGTGATCATTAAAATCGGGAGAGTCCCCAGGGGTTTGCCCTGTGGCATGGCCTCTGCCGCCCGCCCCGTCAATAGGTGTGCAGCGGCTCGGCTGCCCGGGGTGGCTGTTTGGGACGGTCCCTGGGGTGTCCGGGCAAAGGCCCCCCCAAGGCAAATGGCAGCCAGATCCCACGCAGCTCCGGGCTGAAGGGGCAGCAAAGGGGAAAGCAAGAGGAAAGAGAGCCGTGGGCTTGCCAGGGCCTGGGCTGGCGGAGGGGGGGCTTCAGCTGCACCGGGACCCGGTGTGTGCAGAACAAATGGTCAAAATAAGTAAGTAAAGCATTTGAAAAGGAAAAAAAAAAAGAGAATTTAATGTGGGAGACTTGAGAATGGATTTGTGCAGCTGGGCTTGCTGGAGCCATTTGTGCTCCCTGGACTGGGAGGGAGCCTCTGAGCTGCTGCCGTCCCTGCCGCCGGCATCCGAGCTGGAGAGCCCAGCGCCGCTGATGGTGGCAGGCCCTTCTCCTAAGGGTAGGCAAGCTCTGCCCGCCCTCGCTGCCAGGGATGTTTGGAAAACCCGTTGTTATCTGTTAATGTTTATTTAAATCCGATGAAGATGAAGTTCCCATAGGCGTTTACCACAGGCTGTGCCTGTTGTTCACTCTGTGCATCCTGCTCGGCTCCCGGAGATGCTATCTCGCCTCTCCGCCTCCGGCAGTTACACATGGAAACAAGGCACGGTCAGTTTAGAAACACAGCCAAGGCTATTTAGAAAAAAGGAAATAAATTCAGCATCCAAGGCTGCATCTTTATAGATTAAACTGCTTGGAGCGTTTTAGCAGATGGGATGCTTTAAAGTTTCTGTGCGGGCCTCGTTATCTCAATCAGCGCGCTGTAACGACTGGGTTGAAGATTCGGTGCGGCTCTGGCTGAAGCCAGTGGCAGTGGGACAGGAATGTGCCAGAGGACCTGAGACTCGTGCCCGACATGAACGCGCTGAGCTAACCGCGGGTCTTGCACCTCGCCGCGAGTCGCAGACCTTGGTCCGGGCATGGGCTGCCCAGGGAGGTGGTGGAGTCCCCATTCCTGGAGGGATTTAAAAGAAGGATGGATGAGGTGCTTAGGGACATGGCTTAGTGGTGGGATGGCAGGGTTAGGTTAAAGGCTGGACTCAATGATCTTAAACGGCTTTTCCAACCAAAGTGATTCTATGACCCGCGCGGCTCCATTGATGGGAAGCCCGTTCTTTTTTTTTAATATTGTGTCTGAAAACGCCGTGCACGGATGATGCCATTTTAAAGGCAACATCTACTACTGATGATGTGCCAGTATGTCGGAAACGACGGCTCTTGAAGGGACTGGGCAGGATTCTGTGTCATCCGAGGTCACGTGCAGGTGCTTACGCAGCTCATGGCTCAGCGTCCCCTTCAGCGTTATGGCCCGGCAAATTTTGAGATACAGCGCTGTAAAGGTGCAAAACCGCCCGAGGCTGCGACACCTTGCTTCAGCCTGCTGGGTTGTGCTGCTGCAACCGTTGGGGTGATTCTAACGTGGAAAACGTGGCCAAACGTAAGAGTGAGGGAGGCGGAAGGTGCGTTTGTTCAGTTATGTCAGGCTGGTGGGAAACGGGGCGTGAGGAACGTGCATCGCATTATATTAGCACGGTGAATCGCTTAACGAACCGATCTTACTCGAGCAGTGGGCACGGGCTGCAGCAGCCACGCAGCCGCGGCAGCAAACACGGCGCCGTTGTCTCTCGCAGCGTCGGAAGTTCCGGACCAGGCGGAGGGGCCTTGGGTCCTTTTGGGTAGCACGTGCCGTCTGCTGCCGAGGTGGAAACGTTCTCTGGCAGTCAGGGGAAGGGGTTGACTTTTATCCATGATTGCCCTTGGTTTTCTGGGTGTGTTGTAAAATCTGGGCTGTTCCGTGAAGCTAAGTGCTGGCAAACAAGCGCTTGCCTTGCAAAATTGTAGTTCCTGCTCCATGGAAACGTTTGCCTCTGGCAGGAGCTCAGTAGCCTGTTTGCCTCCTTAAAGAACCCCTCTGAAACGACAGTAAAGTTCTTCCTACGGTGGTGAGAGAGATACTGAGGTTGTTTTTTCTCCGCTGTGCTCCTCTGTGAGCAGCCCTGACCTTGGCCTTCAAGCCGTGCGCCGGGGCCGGAGGCTCTGCCCGACGTCACTGCCGCTCCGGTTGTGTCTGCCCGCGCCGCGCTATCTCCCCGCTTTGGGTTTCTGCGGCAGCGTGACACTTGCCATATATTGTGCAACCCGCGGTCGCGTATCCCGCAGCCCTCCCAACGCATTCGGTGCTCGCCTGCTGCGAGCACCTCAGTGTTCCCGGGGCTCTGCGGGGCGGGTGCTGCCAGCAGGGACCCACGGGGTCAAAACCTGAGTGGCGCGGCGAGCCCGCGGCTGAGC